AAGCATTGTCTTTATTTGTGGCAGGCAAATAACCTGATGCAGCTTGTGGCTTTTGTCCGTTTGAAGCAAGATATCTAAACTGCAAGCTTGGTGGCCAAAGCCCATACTCCCAATGCCTGTGGACGGCACAGTTTATTTAGCTTTTCTAGCTCGTCTTATTTTTCTTCGAAATTGATGATAATATTTCAATTTTTTCCTGCCTTAGCATTCCTAGTATCGACCAAATACTTTGTGTGTGTGTGTGTAATTCCTCCAAATAAATATTGCTAATATGCATTGGTTATTTATTTATTTATTTATTTATTTATTTATTTAAAACTGTTTTTCAATTTTTTTTAAACGTTTTATTTATTTTTGAGACAGGGAGAGACAGAGCATGAACAGGGGAGGGTCAGAGAGAGGGAGACACAGAATCTGAAACAGGCTCCAGGCTCTGAGCTGTCAGCACAGAGCCCGACGTGGGACTTGAACTCACGGACCCCGAGATCATGACCTGAGCCGAAGTCGGCTGCTTAACTGACTGAGCCACCCAGGCGTCCCTATTTTTTTATTTAAAAAAAAAAAATTTTTTTTAACGTGTATTTATTTTTGAGACAGAGAGAGACAGAGCATGAACGGGGGAGGGGCAGAGAGAGAGGGAAACACAGGACCGGAAGCAGGCTCCAGGCTCTGAGCCATCAGCCCAGAGCCCAACGCTGGGCTCGAACTCATGGACCACGAGATCGTGACCTGAGCTGAAGTCGGACGCTTAACCGACTGAGCCACCCAGGCGCCCCTGCATTGGTTATTTAAGAGTATCATAGCCTTAACTCTGACATCACAATCATATAAAAGAAAAGAAAATAAACTGTGCACTCAAGGAATTTGCCATCAAAACGATGTACTCTAAGAGGCACAGTACCTGGTATCTACATGGTAGGCACTCTATAAATATTTGTTGGAACAATAACAAAATCCAAAGGAAATTATCCCTCAGGAAAAAGAAATGACTCCTTCTGCCGTTGCCGTAGCTACCGCTTAGTATGTCAGGTTTCAGGACATTGGTTTAAGAACCTGAAGCTGTGTTTTTTCAGATTATTTTCTACGGACAAAGTGAAGAAAGGCTGTTTTAGGTTGATAGCAGTACCTCTTAATAATGTAGACAAAATGGTGGAAATGGGCAATGGTTGGGGAAAGGGAATGTGAAGTATGAAGCTAAATACCATGCCTGAAAAATAAACATCCAGACCTTTCATTTACTCATTAAATTGGACTTAAATGACCTATTTTGACATGTAAGAATTGAAACCAGAGATCAGGGTGTTGGTGGTGAGGGGTAAATGCAGGAGTTTCTGCCAGGGAATTGATGGAAGGCAATCATCCCTCCGTCTTCCCATCAAGGATGAGGCAATAATTACCCTGCAAACCAGGCAGAGAAAAGAACACATTGGTTTGTGAGATGGGCTTTGTGATGATGCGTTTCCTTTTTCATTTTAATTGCTCTTACCTGACACGAAACCTTTTTCTGCCCAGTTGGGCCATATGTGCCAACTAGTTGAGTGATAATCATTAGAAACAGCCTTCAAAGCAAAGGGCTACCACAAAAAAATACTGAAGAAAAGAAATGAACTTCTTTCTCTTAAGCAGAACCAATGCCAACCTAAATACTTTGGCATCCTTCACAGAGAGAAAACGGGTGCGTTTTTGACTAAAAAACCCCAAACCACTTCTTGTAATCTTCTTCCTTTCATTATCTTCCTGTCGCCATCATCTTTTTGTGTCTGCTTTTCCAATCTTTTAAATCAAAACTTCATTTAGTTCAGTGCAATTCATTTAACTAAAATTACTAAAATCTGTGGAATGCACTGGAAGGAAATATACCGCAGAGTTTTATATAGTGGTTGTTGCTATATTGGGACTGCAGGTATTTCTAATTTTCTGTGTGTCCAGAAGATTATTGATGGGAAGGCCGGAAACTGGGGTTCCAGCTCTGGCAGCACCACTCAGGTCTGTGTGACCTTGGACAAATCAGCCTCTGGTGGGGTTGGGAGGGGGGGGCTCAGTTTCCTTGTGGAGAAAGTAAAGGAGGCCACCGAGGTGACCCCTGTCTACTTTCAATTGTAACATTCTGTGGTTCTAGCTGGAAAGAAAGTTTAGCTGGATACAACCCTTATGGAGGGCAATTTGACTGTGTGTCTCAAAATTACAAATGCATTTAACTGCCGACCCAGTGATCTCTTTTCTGGAAATTCCTCCTGTGTATATACTTTCACAGATGCAAAATGAGTTATGTAAGGTTATTCATTACTGAATAGCTCCTACAAACTAAAGATTGGAAACAAGCCAAATGTTCACCAGCACCCTAAGGTTCAGTAAATTGACACATACAATGGTACCCTAGGCAGCTAGAAACATCTTTTATCATACCTTCAGTTTTTTGGAACTATGTGTCTGGGACATTGGCGCTATAAGTATTCTGTGCCTGTTTCAAGTCAAATTTTTTATTTTTATTTTTAAAATATTATTTATTTTGAGAGTGAGAAAGAAGGAGAGGGGCAGAGAGAGAGAGAGAGAGAGGGAGAGAGAGAATGCCAAGCAGGCTCCAGACTAGTTAGCGCAGAGCATGGCATGGAACTCCATCCCACGAAACTCGAGATGGTGACCTGAGCTGAAATCAAGAGTCCCACGCTCAACAGATGGAGCCACACAGGTGCCCCTCAACTCAACTTTAAAAAAAAAAAAAGACCAAAAAAAAAAAAAAAAAAAACCCACCACTGTAACATCCAAACGAGGCAGGATAGTCCAGATTTCAAGGACCTGAGGAAAGTCTGTAAGAAAACTGCCTTAGCCAAATACTCTCCTCCGACTGAAGCCATGAAAAACCGGAATTGAAAGGAAGGCAAGGCCAAATTTGCAGCTGGTTTCCTTTGCCAAGAATGATGCACTAGGGCACCGCCTATTTGTAGGGTGCGGCCATCCGAATGGGGGCTGCCTCTGCAGAGCTTACTTGAGGCTATCAACAGTTCTGCATTAGTGCCTTCCTTTGAGCTCGTCGTCCGGGTTACTGACGTCCCCTAGCGGCTGGCAGAGGAAGCCTGAACCATCTAAATTTGATAGTAAATGCAGAGACCACAAGAGGAGGAGGGTGGGAACCACCTCTATCCTTAATCCATCAGGCTCACGACCTTCCTCTTCCCTGCCCCTCTCCCCCATTTATCAGTAGGAAGCTGTGATAAGTGGATTGTGAAGAAACAGGGGCCTGAACTAGGGAGATGATAGCGAGAATGTAAAGAAGAAGTAAATCTAAGTTCTTTCAAACTTTCGTAAATGAGGCCTAATTTTCTTTAGATGCCACTTTTCAATTGAAGAGTTACCTGTAAGAGAAAGGGGATTGGAAAAATATTTGGGAGCTGTCATTTTGGACAAGATATTTAAAACCCTACTGTCAATCTTCCATCCCAAGTGATCCCATCCCTCTGAAAGGAAATGCCTTCCTTATGCCTCCTAAATAGGCAAAACAAAACAACTGTTTCTTGAAAACTGTTTCTTTTGCTCCCCGAGACACAAGGGCCATTGTCTTTCTGCCTTTGGCCCCAATGATCTCGACAGGACGTCCAGGACCTGGAGCCCAGATGGGGAAAGGTGGGGTGGGGGGGGAAGTTGACTGACACTCGAGGCAATTTAAAGGAACCTGGGGGTGGGCAGGGCTCACCCAGGCTTTGGTTTTACCCCTCTTGCGCCGTTACTTGAAATCTCACTACTTCTATCCTAAATAGCAAAGAAATGACAAGCAAGCCGTTGAACTTAATTAGGGGTACATAATAAAGTGACAAGGTTCTCTCTAAATGCTCTTCTCTGACCCCTTCCCCGCCGCCCCTGGACCATTAGAGTCTGAGGTTCCCGCGCAGGGGAAGATGATCCCACAGAGGGCACTGAAGTCTAGGATGCTTCTTCGGCCCGGCTGAGTCCCTTTACCTCATTTCTAGCCTTTTAGGTCAAGTGTGGCGTCAACCCAGCTGAGCTGCCGCTGGGCTGGACGCCTGGCCCCCGACTAGACCGAACCTGCAGAGGCTCAGCTCTAGGGTACGAACAGGTGGGCTCGAGGCGCG